GCATGCCAAGCGAGCACGTTATTGCTTGAGCCACATCCCCAGATCTTAGTTTGCATTTAGTAACAAACTTTGGCCATCTGAATTAACCATTAGCCATGCCTAGCATATGTCTTTGTAGATGTCTATCTTCTTCATTCTCCAGTTATTTTCCCTTAGTCTATTCACTTGCTGTGCCCATTACTCTTACCATGAAGTTGATGTTTACTGATCCTGAATCCCATATCAAGGAAGTGGCAGGTTTGTTTAAAAGCATATGTATAGGGCTGGGCATGTGTCTCAGGGTAGACCACTTGCCCAGCATGTGTGGGGCCCCAGTGTCAAACAAAACAAAAACAAACAAAATCCACCAACATATAAAGTTTTCTGGACTGCAGAGTTACTATCCAYTCATTTAGTAAACATTTATTGAATGCTTGCTGTGGGGCAYATCCCATACAGACGTGGAGGAGAGCAGGACTTAATCCCTGCCTCAAGGAGTGCACAAATAGGAGTAGAAGCTGAGATATGTGTCCTCTGATGGACATACCCACCCTCTCTGAGGGGGGCAAAAAATCAGAGAAGGCTATGCCTGAATAAGTAGTGGAGGATGGTATAAGCATCTGGTAGGTTTAGAGGAGTGCAGAGGCATAGCTGTCTCAGAGAGCATGTTACATTTTGGGAACTGTGATAATTTAGATGAATTTAGATGATTTAGGTATAGGTATTGATGTCTGTCCCATCTGAGTTCAAATCCTTGCCCAGCTACTTTCTGGCTTTGTGATCTTGGAAATGACAGTGATCCCTCAGGATCTCCATTTTCTCATTTTAAAAACAGCAATGTGAATGCTTCCCTTGAAGTTTTGTGAAGATCACAAAGTGTGAATAGTGTGGCACATAGGGTGCAGGCATTAAGAGTTAATAGAGCGGCTGTGGTTGCAGCTCAGGGGCAGAGTGCTCGCCTAGCACATGCGAGGCCCTGGGTTCGATCCTCAGCACCACATAAAAATGAATAAATAAAATAGAGGTATCGTGTCCAACTACAACTAGAAAATAAATATTTAAAAAATGACTTTTTTGTTTATTATTATAATTCATATAAGCATTTATTGGGCTCAGATTTTTAAATTCAGCCTTTTATATTCTGATTCTAGGTCTGGACTTAGCATAGGATGATTTCCAGGCCAGCCAACATGTTGATCAGCATGCCAGAACCCTTATCTTGATTGATCATGGCTGTTTCATTACCTTCTGGTGGCTTTTGTGCCAGAGACTCAGGATCTGAGGCATCTTTATTTTATTTTAATTCCATCTTTCTCCTCTCTTCCTTCTAGCCTCCATTTTTTTTTTTAAGTAAAGGTTATAATTTGACAGATGCTACTTGGCTAATTAGCTTACTCTTAATTGAGTAGGGGTTTGTACAGGTGGGAGCTTTACCAACTGAATATATTTCATTATTCCCAGGCTTCATAATTCACAAATGTGTTTTGAATGAAAGGTCCTAAATGTCTCTGACAGGGCATTTTAGGGAAAGATTTTTCTGCATTGCTAAGAATGTTTTCTTACTCCTACTATTGTTATTACTTACTGGGATTTTTTTTTTTTTTTTGCATTCATGCATTATGGATATTTCCTTTACAGCTGCCTGGGTTTGAATTCTAGTTCTACATTATCTAGCTCTGTATGACTTAGGCAAGTTATCTGCTCTTTCTGTAATATCAAGGAAAATCTGTAACATCAAGGAAATTAAATTACCTCTTACATTACCTATCCTGTAAGGTTGTGAAGATTAAGCTAATAAAAGTATAATATGCTCAGAACAGTTTCTGGGACAATAGTGCTGTACAGGTTGAATATCCCTTATCCAAAATGCTTAGGATCAGGAGTATTTTGGATTTTGTAATATTTTCACATACATAATGAAATAATCTTGGGGAGAGAACCCAAGTCTAAACATAAAATGCATAAATATACCTTATTTGAAGATAGTACAGTATCTTTAGTGCCCCTGGGTTTTGACTGCAACTTGTCACACATCAGGTGTGAAGATTTTCAGATAAGGGACATGCAGCCTATATAAGCATTCTTTGTTTGGTTTTTGTTTTCACAGTGCTGGGAATTAAACCCAGGACCTAGAGCATGATAAGTTAGCATTCTCCCTCTGAGCTGCATCCCCAGCCCTAAGAATTGAATATTGTCATCATCGTTTTTCTTATTATTTTTGCCATGATCTGGATTTCTTAAAAGGAGCAAGGAGGTTATTTTATCAAACACTTTGTTTTTCCCAGAAGGCTTGGTTGGTTTTTTAGATATGCAAAGACTATTTTGGTGCATGTCACCTTCAACAAGTTGTGATGGCCCAGGAGAAGACCAAGGACCCAACTGCCAGGCTGTAAGAGCAGTACTCCCGGGCATTTTGTTCTAGCAGTTAGTGTCAGGACTGCATTAAGAGCAAAAGTACCTGTCACCATCATGTGGCCCTTGGAAGCAGGCCCTGACCCTTTTACCATAGCTGTTTGGTCTGTGTGTGGCCATCAGTAAACAAAGTGTTGACAGTCCTCTRGACAATCCTCTTATAGGCATTGCATCTTTGAACTAAAAAAAGTTTACATTTAAGAATCTGACATGCTATTTAAATCAGTTTACTGTCTTATGAACATATTGTTAGGACTAAAAGTATTTCATTACTTTAGCTTTTGTGCAAGCCTGTCTTCTATTGTTTTACATGATCCTTTTGTTTTATATAAATTGTCTCATAGTCAAATGACTGAAAATGTAGCTATAAATGACTTTTGCAAGAAATAGAATGTGAATAATTCCTTTCCTACAATAAAACAACAACTTCAGTCATAATTTAACTTAGATTAAAAAAAATAGAGCAAGGTTAGTATTAAGCAGTCAGTTCTGCTTGGATAAAAATGGGCTTAGTGATAGAAATTGGGGTCTGAGGATGAACTTCCACATAATTAAAATACCAGTGCTTCAAAGAAAGATTTTATTGTCTTTTTGATTTTGTTTTGTTAGCTACTGATCCCAAGAACCAGACAGTAATGTTTGAAACACTTAAGGACTGGTGCTGGGAGTTGGAACGGACAAAAGGCAATGTGAAGTACAAAGCAGTGAGTGTCAATGAAGGCTATAGAATCTCTGAGAGGTAAGCTCTCCTTGCTGGCTACTTGCCATATAATTCAACCATTTGAAATGTTTTGTGTTTTTAAATTTATTGACAGGGTTGTGTAACCATCATCACAGTCCATTTTAGAACATTTTCATCATCATCCCCCCAAAATCTTCACATCCATTAGCAATCACTCTATATTTCCTCTGAACATCTCCCTCTCCCCAGCCCTAAGCAACCACTAATCTAATTATTGTCTCTATTATAGATTTCCCTGTTCTGAATATTTTATATAAATGGAATCATATAATATATAGTCTTTCAATAACTGGCCTTTTACATTTAGTATAATGTTTTCAAAATTCATCCATGTTGTAGCATATTATTAGAATTTCACTCTTTTTTATTGCCAAATAATGTTCCATGGTATGGATATACAACATTTTATTTATCCTTTTATTAGTTAATGGACATTTGGGTTACTTTTACTTTTCATCTCTTGTGAATTAGGCCTTCACAACATTTGTGTATGTATGAATATATGGTTTTATTTCTTTGTGATATATAATCTAGAAATTGAATTGCCAAAATATATGGTAACTATGGTTTAATTTGGGGGGGAATTGCCAGACTGTTTTCCATGATGATTGTACCATTTTACTTTCCACTACCAGTGTATAAGGATTCTTTTCTTCAAATCAACACTAGCTTTTATGTATTTATGTTTTTATGTATTTGTGTTTTTAATTTTAATTTGCAATATTGGGGATTGAATCCAGGGGATTGAATCCTCTTAACACTAAGCTACATCCCCAACCCTTTTAAATAATTATTTTGAAACAGAATCTTGCTAAGTTGCCCAGTCTGGCTTCAAATTTGCAATACTCCTACCTCAGCTTCCCGAGTAGCTGGAATTACATGCATGTGTCACTGTGTTTGGAAACTTTTGTTTATATTTTTGTCATGGTGCTGGGATGGAACTCAGGTCATATACATTCTGGGCAATTGCTCTATTGCTGAACTGTACCCTGAGCCCCTCAACACTAGCTTTATTTTTTATTTTTATTTATTTATTTTTTTGCAGTGCTAGGGATCAAACCCAGGGCCTATGCATGCTAGGTTCAACACTAGATTTTATTTTATTTTTAAGTATTTATTTTTTAGTTGGACATAATACCTTTATTTTATTTATTTATTTTTATGTAGTGCTGAGGATTGAACCCAGGGCCTTGCATGTGCTAGGCAAGCGTTCTACTGCTGAGCCACAACCTCAGCCCTCAACACTAGATTTTAAAAGAAACCTCTTAAAATACTCAAAAGTGAGTTTGTATCTTTTTGTGATTGTTGCCATTTTTGTGCTATAACCTAAGTGTAAAAAAGGAATTTCTTAATTTATAGTGTTTTATTTCCTTTTATTGAATGCTTTGTTTATTCATTCAACAAAAAGTTTGAATGCCTATTATATGCCAAGAATTGTCCTAATTACTAGAAAGATAGTAGTCAACAAGCACCTGAAAACCTGTGTCCTCCTGGAGCATTCCTTCTAGTGGGAGGAAGACAATAATAAAGAAGTAAAATATCATATATTATAATTGCTAGGGAGCTGGAGGTACAGCTTAGTGGTAGAGTGTGTTTCTAGAATGCACATGTTCGATCCTTGGCGCACACACACAAAAATTAAGCTGGTGTTTTGGCTCAGTGGTAGTGCACTCATCTGGCATGTGTGAGGCACTAGATTCAATCCTCAGCACCACATAAAAATAAAAAAATAAAATAAAGGTATTGTGTCAATCCACAATTTAAAAAATATTTTAGAAAAATTAAATTGGGCTGGGGCTGTAGCTCAGTTGAGATATATATATATATATATATATATATATAGATAGATAGATAGATAGATAGATAGATAGATAGATAGATAGATAGATAGATCAGGCAAAGGGCTGGGGAGTGCTGGAGGTTATGGTGGGGATGGTTGGTCAGGAAGGCCTCAGGATTAAATGACTTTTGAGCAAAGCCTTGAAGCAAATGAAAGATTGAGTTTGAGAGTGGCTGGCAGAGAAGTGTTGTAGGTGGAAGGAACAGTGAGGCAAGAGCTGTGTGAGCAGCAGTGAGGGGATGAGGGACAGCAGAGGAATAAGTGAAGGAAAAAGTAGAGGTGAGGAGAGGGAAAAGAGGGGATGGTTGGGCACTTTCAGAAGAATTTATCCTTCCTGACACTGAAAATAGTGAGGAGGAGTTTGAGCAGAGGCAGGGAGTGATCTGACCTACTTTTTAAAAAGATGACTCTGCATAATCTGTTTTTAGAAACCTGACTCTTATCATTTTGGAGCATACTCCCTAGCATCCTGCTAACAATTTCATAAAATATTGTTGTTTGTTAGTGTTTTTGTATTCAGGTTCTGATAGGCCTCTTTAGCAGGTCAGTTTAGATTTTGATCAGTCTCAAGCATTTATCAGGTGACACCCAACAATGCAGTTTGTGGTGACAGTGTGAGGCCTATGAAGGATCCTCCCAGAACTTCTCTGTTAGCCCCACACTGCTGCTTCCACTTCCCAGATGAAAAGATTGAAAGGGGAAAGCTAGCGCTCACTCAGAAAGAAGTTAGAAACCCCTGTTCCTAAGAGGTGTAATGGGAGGTTGGTGGTAATATAAGGCATCCTCATTCCCAGAACTGTTTTCTGTTTGTTTTTTAAAATGGGGTCTTGCTGTGTTACCTAGGCTAACCTCTAACTCCTGCCTCAGTCTCCCAARACATGTGCCACATGCACAATGCCCTGAATTATTATTTTTTTAATTCAGATACATACTGATTTGGGGTGTTTACATAGGTGTCAGCATCTCAAAACTATACCTGGTTGGGGCTAGGAGTGTAGTTCAGTGGTAGATTGCTTGGCTAGCATGCAGGAAGCTCTGGATTCAGTCTCTGGTACTACATAAAAGAAATAAGAATAAATAAATGAAACCTGGTTAAGAGGTCAGAGGGGAAAACTTTATGATTAGTGATGAATGGGGAGAATTGAGCTTTAGCTGGATTTTAAGACTCTGAGCACTCAGTGCTGACACTACTTGAACTGCCCCAGCTGTCAACATAATACAGGAAAGGCTGTGCTTTGTTTCTCTACGCCACTACAGTAGTTGCCTCCATGGCCTTTCCTATATTCTCTGGTCCTCCAATACTATCTATCTATCTATTTATTTATTTATTTATTTTTATGTGGCCATAACCCCTTCCCCAGCATTCATTCTTCATACAGCAGGTAAAATGAACCTCTCCATATGCATCTGATCAGACTTATTCTAGCTTTAGTGGTTTCCGACTGGTTTTGGTATAGAACAGAACTCTTAACAAACACTCCAGGGCCCATAATGGTTTGACTTCCACCTAATTCTCCAATTCTTTCACACTCCGCCATCCATACTGACAGCCTTGCCACAGGCCTGGACTCACCATCTCCTTCCTGTCTGGAAGCACCTTTTACTTCTAACTGCACATAGGTAGATAACCCCACTTAATTGATCAAATCTCAGCTCAGTGCCACTCTTTTAAAGAGCCTTCCAAGACTAGGTCAGGGCTGCTTGCAAGAACTTTCATTACACTGTACCCCTTGTAGCACTTTCTGCAACTGCAAATTGGTTTCTATATGTATCATCATTTGGTTAATGTTTATTTCTACAGCCTATAAGTCTATGAAATCAAGGATATACTGTTTTTGCTTATCATTTTATCAGTGCAAAGTACAGTGTCTGGCTTCTGAGACATGCTCAATAAATAGGAAAAACTGAATATATTAATGTAAGTCTTATTAGGGGAATGGACTCCAGTCAGTTTGAATAAGAGTGAGACATTCAGGGGATAGGGATATGGTTCAGTGGTAGAGTGCTTGCTTCACATACATGAAACCCTGAGTTTGATCCTCAGCTCCATACACGTGCGCACACACACACACACACACACACACACACAAAGAATGAGAAACTTGAGTGTCCATTTCACCTTCCCCAAGGTCAGAGCTGGCTTCTAATGCCACAGGTCTGTTCCTTCTCTTTTTTTCAGTCTTCTCCTAAAAAGAAAAAAAAAAAAAACCTTACTTTTTAAAAAAATATTTATTTTTAGGTGTAGATGGACACAACACAATGCCTTCATTTTTATGTGGTGGTGAGGATCGAACCYGGGTCCCGCCCATGCTAGGTGAGCACTCCACCACTGAGCCATAATCCCAGCCCGGGAAAAAAAATAAATCCACCTCTTTTTGGAGATATGAATTTTACAGCCCTATGGGCTATGTACAACAGAAGACTTATGAATTGATGCTAGAACAAGAAGATACATTACTGCTCTGGGGATTCCCCCACCTTAACCAGGCTGAGCCTGAGTGGATCCTTCAGTTTCCCATGACTGAAGTTGTCCTGTAGAAAGTCTATTTGTTTGTGTTCTAAACTCATCCAAATAACTAAAATGACTGTTTTCAGCCAGGTGCAGTGGCACATGCCCATAATCCCAGCTGCTCAGGAGGCTGAGGCAGGAGGATCTCAAGTTCAGAGCTAGCCTCAGCTAAAGTGAGGTGCTACACAACTCAATGAGACCCTGTCACTAAATAAAATAAAATAAAAATAGGGCTGGGGATGTGGTTCAGTGGCTGAGTGCCCCCGAGTTCATCCCCCAATACCAAAGACTGTTTTCATCTGGAAATGTAATTCAGTGGTAGAGCACTTGCCTTGCATGCACAAGGCCCTGGGTTTTATCTCCAGTATGGGGCAGGAAGGGAGGGAGGATTAATTGCTTGTATCCATTGGCAGTCTCACAGCAAACTCTGTGGAATCCACCTGAGTTCACTGGGACAGGTAAGGGCACCCTCCATATCCTTCACTGGGTGCAGTCATCTTCATCTCTCTTGAGAAATGGAGACTAATACCCTTGGTTCCAACTTTTTTTTTTTTTGTAAGAGTCTTTTTATAAGAGAAAATTAACTGGTGAACTAGCACTATAAAATATTTAACCTCATTATTTGAATGCAGTGATATCTGAAAAATGCAAATTTTTAGGAGGAGGCCCCCTTCCAGTTTTATAGCATGAGCCACTGAGTGGGGAGCTGAGAACTCCACAGGTTGACTSTCCTGAGAAGAGTGAGAAACAGCAGCCTGTTATAAGTTACCATCCAGTCAGTGCTTATCAGAGCTTACTGTACATCAAAACCACCCAGGGGACTGGATGTGGTGGTTTACACCTATAGTCCCAGGTACTCAGAAGGCTGAAGGCAGCAAGGACTACAAGTTTGAGGCCAGCTTAAATAGCTCACCTAGATCCTGTCTCAAAAAAGTGAGGGGTGGAGAGTGTTCTAGGGAAGTAGTTCAGTGGTAGCATGCTTGACCAGTGTGTGTTCAAGGCCCTGGGAGCTGGACACATTGACACATGCCTATAATCCCAGTGAGTTGGGTGGCTGAGGCAGAAGGATTGCAAGTTCCGCTAGCGTCAGCAATTTAGTAAGTCCCTAAGCAACAAAGTGAGACTCTCTCTCAAAATTAAAAATAAAAAGGTCTAGGGATGTGTCTTAGTAATAAAGTGCTCCTGGGTTCAATTCCCAGAACCATTGTACATATGTATGTAATGTGTGTGTATGTATATATACACACACATGGATATGTATACATACACATTCATATATATTACAGCAGTGTCTACTACTCAAATGTTTGTTATTAGAGCACTTGATGTCATCATCATTACAGGTTTTCATATTTAACTAAAAGCAACATAAGTATTTATATTGTTACTATAATATTATATTGTTACTATGAAAGGAAGATTATTCCATTTTTGAAATTCATGTGTRTTTAGATATCATATTTTCCAGTCCCGTCATTTTATGGAAAAGGTAATCGACCTAGAGAGGTGTATAATTACCCAACATTATGCAGAATTGGATTCAGAGCTAGGATTAGAACTAGTAATTTGGTCACAGTACTTTATACCAAACAGAATGGCAGTTCATCTGAGCTGATTCTTCTTAACAGGGAGATATGGTCATTTTTATAACACTCTGTTTAGCTTTCTTATATTCATTGAAATTGAGCTTTCATATTTTGTGAATCATGTGTAGTACTAAAGTCTGATGATATCCTTTTTTTCTAGGTTGCCAGCATACTTTGTTGTCCCTACCCCTCTTCTTGAAGAGGATATGCAACGCTTTCAGGGTCACAACATACCAGTAAGTGTATCTGAAATCCTGAAGAGACATGGGTTGCTCATTGGCCCATCMTAGCAAAATGATCCTACTTAAAGCTCTTGGCTTTGGTACTCAGGAGTTTGTCCTCAGTCCAAGAGTGATCCAAAAATACCATAAGAACTCCCTAGAAGAGTCTCTTAAACATGAGGCTCTGTGAGATAGAGTTCTGAAGTTTTCATAAATACACTTGAGTTTTAGAAAAGACATTGAAAAGCTTTAAGAGGATTACAGATTTGTCTGCTATTGAAAGCAACACGTAAGTCATTTAACACRTAAGTYATTTTGAACCTGAGCTGACCAATCAGGGTAGTAAAATTTCAGATTCTTTTTGGTTGGCACAGTTAATCTTGGTATGGGCATGGTGGTGTCTTCTCCTAGAGACAACATTTCTTAGTTTTTACTGAATAGAATGGGGTGGGAGCCATATTTAATGGGTCACTCATCAAAGAAGGTAAGACTCTGGCAGTCATCCCCATTTCTAATTGGTGGCTGGGAGTTGCCAAGCCTGCGGGGAATTTAGTAAGGAMTAAGAATTTATAAATAAATGGTATGCTATGTACATGGCTGGTTCACCAAAAGGATCAATTCTGGGTGGAAAGCAAGGTGGCRAAGCAACATTACATGCTTAGAAGCCCATGGAGGCCAAGCAGGTACTGAGCAAGGCCCCTGCAGTGAACAGGGGCCCCTCTGCTTGGTGCAAGGGTGCAGATCTTCAGCACCAGCTAGTCTGTACCATGTGGGAAAATGAGCTGAGTGTTGCCAGATGTCTTGATTTTTTAGGGGTAGCCAGAAGATACAATTTCCATGTGCATTTTTCTGATCTCAGAATATATACAACTGATCTAAAAGCTCAAAAAACATGTGTTTGGGCTAAAGTTGAAACACATTCCACCAATTTGCAACCTTTGGGCAATTTGGGCAGCAGTTCCCAAACTTTCTGGTCTCAGAATCTTTATACTCTTAGAAAGTATCAAAGTTTTCTCCAAGAGCTTTTGTTTATATGGGTTGTAACTGTTGGTACTTATCATATAAAAATTTAGACTAATTTTTCTTTTTAATTTAAGTAACAGCAAGGCATGGTAGCACATGCCTGTAATCCAAGCTACTTAGGAAGCTGAGGCATAAGGACCACAAGTTTGAGGCCAGCCTGGAAAACTTAGACCATTTCAGAATAAAATAAAAAGGGTTGGGGATGTAGCTCAGTGGTAGAGTGCCCCTGGGTTCAATTTCTAGTACCACAAAAATAAAATAAAAAGGGGCTGGGGATATATAGGTCAGTGGCAGAGTGCTTATCTGACATTTATGAGTCTCTGGGTTCAATCCCCAGTACCACAAAAAAAGAAAAAGTTAAGTAACATTACATGTTAGCATAAATAACATGTTTCTATGAAAAATAACTATTCAAAACAGTAAATTTGAATAACATTATTTTACATTCTTGAAAATAGAAGACAGCTAGATTCTAATATCTGATTTTTTTTTTCAGTCTGTTGTGGTAATTTGGGGGTTTGATTGAAGTACATGAAGAAAATTCAGATTCACAAAGCTATGTATTTGGAAAAGAAAGGAATATTTAATAGCCTTTTTAGAGAATACTTAACAGCCTAATTGAGAATATTATTCTCTGATGGTACACCAAAAAGTTGGCAAGTGAAAATTTCATAAAGGTTATTTGCAATAACTTATCTGAAAACATAATGAACTTTCCATTCTCTGTTAAATTAAAACCTTTGGTCTGTCTTACATTTTGAGTGGATCTTAAAACGTGCATGATTTTGTACTAGTGTATCCTGACCATTTGGAAAATATGGGTTCATAGGTTATAAAGAACTCCTATCTATTGACACATTTTATTATAAAATTTTTTAAAAATCTTATTCATTATTACTGTGGTCTCTTCAGAAGAGTCTTTAAATGTTGKGAATCTGCCCAGCAAAAGTAGCAGGTACTAGTTTTCCAAAATTCTAATTGTTATCATTTACAGTAGATTATCAGTTTTTTCCCATGAAGTAGTAAACTCACTTTATTTTTATTTTTATTTTTTATTTTTTGGTACTGGGATTGAACTCAAGGGCACCTGAMCACTGAACCACATCGCCAGCCCTATTTTGTATTGTATTTAGAGTCAGGGTCTCACTGAGTTGCTTAGCAGTCTTGCTTTTACTGAGGCTGGCTTTTAAACTTGAAATCCTCCTTTCTCAGCCTCCCAAGCCGCTGGAATTACAGGTGTGCACACCACACCCGGCCACTTTATTCATTTTTTAAAAATGAATATCTGCCAGATACCAAAGTCAGAACACCCATGATTTGTTTAAAAGAGGGTATGAGTTCAGTTCTCAACTCAGTTATAAAAGAGCTTTTTCTTGGGAYAAATATTTTAACTTCAATGCTTACTTCCCATTCTTGCACACAGAATATTTAAAATACATGTGGTGGTCAACAATAATAAAAATAATCATTAAGGACAATCTCAAAAGAATCAGATTTCTTTCCTGCTAATGGTATCGATGAAGAACACAGTGACAACCACTACAGTTGTGTGGCCCTTCCTTGATTGGTGCTAAGCCACCACTACATTTGTATCATTTCAGTAAGGTACATAATTTCATCAATTCCAAATACAAAACACATTGCTACCACTACATTTGCATCATTTGTGCAGATGTCAACACCATGGAAAAGACATTATATTGTTAGGATTATTATGAAAATGGTTGTGGCCTCTCAGACCACCTGAAAGGGTTTTGAGACCTCCCAGTTAGTTACTGAAAATCAGAGTCTTAGAGGAATGATCAACCTCTCTCAGAGCAACCTAGAAAAGAAAGTGTTCTATTGGAAGAAACAAAGATGAATTGTCGCCAGGTGCAGAGGCACATTCCTGTAATCCCAGGGGCTAGGGAGGCTGAGGCAGGAGAATTGCAAATTCAAAGCCAGCCTCAGCTATATAGCAAGATTCTAAGCAACTTAATGAGACCCTGTCTCAAAATAGAAAAAAAAAGGGCTGGGGATGTGGCTTAGTGGTTAAGTACTCTTGGATTCAATGTTCCAAAAAAAAAAAAAAAAAAGATCCACATATGTAGATTTATATACACCGTGTTCTAKCCAAGCCTAAGGGTTGAGAAGTAGAATATGTTCTTGTAAGACCTAAGTGAGGAACACCAACTTTTTAATCATTAGTTCTACTTTAATTGTATATTCTGAAAATCATTAGTTGAGTTTGTATGAATAGACAGCAGAAAAATTATATACAAGATGGAATGTACACATCTATCCAGGGGAACACAAAGCTTTCAGTCAGTCTTCCCCGCCTTCTCTCTCTCTCTCTCTGCCTCCCTCCCTTCTCTCTCTCTTTCCCTCCCCCACTACCCATTGCAATGCTGAGGATGAAATCCAAGAGTTTGTGCTTGCTATACCCCAGCTTGCCTGCCTACCAACTACTTGCCTGCCTTCCACTGGGTATTGAACCCAGGGATGCTCTACCACTGAGCTCCCTCCTCAGCCTCTTGAGTCTCTGGGATTAC